TTACCATAATATGACACGTGTTACTTAAGGGAGAAAATTAACATCATTTACGAACTGAACACTTAAAATAGTAATATTTTTAACATTAAACACATATATCGATAAAAAGAAGTTTGAATACCTATTTAGAAAAAACGATATAATTTGAACACTTATTTATAACCAAGCCAATTAAATTATACCCCACTTATAATTTTTGTGAAACAAAAACGAAAGTTATGTAATTTAAAATAAATTGTATAATATTCAATATTTTTATAGATATCACAATAAGAATATAATAAAAAATTATCTAATATTACTCATATAAAAAATTTTCAATATAAAAGATTAATAACAACTAAAATTAGTATAATTACATGTTCTAAAAGAACTTTTAAATTTACGTACAAAATACATAGTTCGAAATATAATATTTTCAACAATTAAGATGATCTATTTTCACAAAACCAAAATCATCTATGATCTTGTCAAAATAAATATTGAATAATTTTGATTGAGTAAATTAACACAGGAGGAATACCTTTTAAATTTTTATTATAATCTTGTAAGTGATATTGAAAAATTACTAAACAAACCGCTAATAACACCATAAGTTCATAAGTAATTAATGACCAAAATAAAAATAAAGTGTGAAAATTCATAAAAAATAAAAAAAATATATAAAAAATCAATAACCTAAAGTTTCACTTAAAATATACGAATACCTTCAGACTTCAAGAATAAATTTTTAAATTTAAAAAGCACATATTGAATATAAATAAATAAGAAAAAGTCATAAGAAGACAACTCTCAGTTTAAGATTGTGAAGAGATAAAATTATAGTTAAATTTGAAATTAAATAAGAATCTAATTAGTTTAATTTTGATTAAATAGAAATAAGAATTAAAAAATTATAGAATAATGTTATTTTTCTTTTGGCATTAGGGAGCCATGGCCTAGGCTTCCCTTTGCCCTTGCAAAGAGACCGCTTGGTTCGTACAATTTCTTTACCGTTTTAAATACGTGCGTATATATGTTTAATCATTTATAAAATTAATATTTTCAGAAGATTATCATCAAAGTAATATATTTTCTTTACATCATCTAAAGGAACTAGAAGCTTTTGTATTATTTTTCTTTTATCTTTTCTATTTTTGGTTGAATTTTTCTTTTTTTTACTTTATATTTGCATCTTTTGGAAAAGAAAATAAAGATAAAAAAGAACTGGATGCTTCAAAGTCATATGCCAAGCTTACTTTGAAAATTATTCTAAAAGTCAAATTATATACATACATATGATGAGTCAACAAATTTGAAAATTATTCTAAGAGTCAAATTTTATATGATGGTGATTGTATAACGTAGACTTATTAGTTAATTAATTTATATTTATTAATCATCGATATTCAATTTATTTGTTAATTAATTCAGATCACGATGAGGATCATATGTATCTAAAATACGAATCTTTAGTCTTATTTAAAGAATAATTCGTTTCATCACACTAAACTAATGAATATAAATTAAATTAGCTGACCCTTATTCCCATATGTAATGGGGTAAGGGGAGGTAGTATAGTAGGCTGCCCCCAACACCAAGTTGAGAGCAACTTCCGTGGAGACCTCCGAATTATGAATTGCCCACCGTGGGACTCAATCCCACGACCACAAGGTTAATAGTCTTGTGCTCTACCAACTGAGCTAGACCCATTTAATTTATCAGTTTATATCATCATTAATTAGAATAATGAAAGCAAAAGTGTATGGGGTTGAATTCAATATGATGCTAACTTTGGCCTTTGTGGACCCATTTGCCCTAAATTCAGCTCCAAAAGATGGTAGAATTGAAGTTGGACCTCTTCAAAGTTCAAAAGCGTTTTACACATTACCATTGCCTTTGTAAAAAAAGGGTAAATTGCATGTTTAGTACTTAAACTGATAATTTTGATCTATTTTAGTACCTAAACTTTTAAAATTTTCAAAATCATACATAAAATTTAGTTTTTGTTTCCTTTTAGTATCCCGTTCAAAATTTAATGTTAAGTTTTGAAAAATTGAAAGTTTAGGTATTAAAATGGACCAAAAATTATAGTTTAGGTACTAATTGCGTTAAGTTTTTAACGACGAGTACTAAAAAAAAAAAATTTAAGTATAATTTTGAAAAATTTGAAAGTTTAAATATTAAAACGAACTAAAACTGATAGTTTAGATACTAAATACGTAGTTTACCCAAAAGAAAGAAAATGAGCCAACAGTGTATTTGACTTTAGCAGGTGGTTTAAGACCATGTGCAAGCCTTTACGTAAACTTCCCTCTCTTGTTTACCGTTTAGTTGCTTTCCAAGTGTTCTTTTTGGTTCTTTGCCCCTTCCATTTGCTTTTCTTTATCCCTTATTCCATCCTTTTGGTCATTCTCACTCAATTTCTATATATTTTTCACTAATCGAAACAAGCTAAAACTAAAGATGATCGGCTCAGATTATGTTGGAATTTTTATTCACTCGAATTCGATCCAAATATAACATTTTTTCATCTATCACTCGACTTGAATTTGAGGAAGTTCCAAGGCCTGAAACTCGGCCGAATTTTTAAGATAAAAACTTACGCCAAACACGAATAAATACAGATTTACAATTTGCACATATATTTTTTTATATTCATTTTATGCATGAAAATAATATTTATAATATTATTTAATAAATAAATAAATTATAAAATTATATAATATATCTATAGTGTTTTTTAAATATTAATTTTTGAGATAAAATATTGATGAGAATATAAATTAATCGATTACTTGATAAGAAGAAAAAATAATTACATTAATATTATTAAGATTATGTCGACCAAAATAAAATTACTTATAAAATCATGAAGACACAATAAATTTATTTAAATTTATATGACTTAATCTTTTTATTATTTATTGTTAATATTTTTCTATTTTACAACAATAGTATTTCTTTTGGTTGTCCTTTCGGTTCTTAAGATTTTGTCTTAATCAATCCGGTCCGTCCCGGGTCGTGCATCTGGTTGTGGTGGGTGGGTCTCCTAACAGGAATTTTCTGTATACACAAAGACTTGAACTCGAGACTTGCTTAAGCGATATCAAACTGTTTATCATTTGAATCAACCCCGTCGATACAACAATAGCATTCATTTGAAAATGAACACTCAATCACATGCTGGTACTGTTGGTGCTCGAACCTATGACCTCCTGAAATAACAACAATTTCTTTGAACACTAAGGTAAATTAGTTCATGCTTAATCAAAATACTAACATCATAAAGTATCATTTGTGATAATTTGATAATAATCAATAATTTAATAAACTGTAAAATCAGATACCGGTTTGATTATTATTTTTACCGTTACATCACATGTGTATATATAAAACTAATTTAATTTTATAAAACGAATGAAACAAATAATTCAGACAGAATTTTAAATTTATCGAAATTATTATTTTTTAATATTTTTTTTATAAAGGCTTGGACCGAGTAAAACAACAAAAAGATAAGAATGGCAGTGATGGAGACGAGTGCACATGTAAATCCAGGATTCGATGTACTTTATTTTTACCGAGAAAGTTTCTGAAAGGCAAGTGAAAAAGGCTGCACTTCTCCTGCAAAAATCTGAACTTATATTAACTTTAGTAAAAAAAAAATTATCTGCAAATATGTGGTAAATTTCCATTTTTTTTACAGAGTAAATTTGCATCATTTGCAAAAAGGTTTCGTCTTTCATCACTCACTCGCAGCAGCAAGCTCCTTCACGTGCTCTGCCTGTTAGTCTCTCACGCAAACTAAAACCATTCATCTGCAAAATTTGCAGTTGAACGGTATAAATAAAAGTAACATTTGGTATCTAATATTTTGGTGAAATTTACAATGAGGTGTCTATACATTTAAAATATATAATGTAAGAGTTATAATTCAATAAAACAACTAATAGATTCCATTAAGGGTCTTCAATGGTAAAAAAAATGATTTTTTAGAGAATTTAGATTCGAGCAATTACATCTGGAGGATATATATCAATTATCGATGGGCTAAAAAAATTTAAACAAATATCATTTTATAATCGTATAAGATTTATATCAAATTATCCCTTAATTTTAGAGTGTTAGAGTTTGTTTTTAAGGCAAAAAGACATAAGAGATCCTTGTAATTTTTTAAAAAACCAACGTGAATCTCATATTTTTTTTCTCAATGTGGCACTCAAACTTAGAAAAAAAACACAATGTGACCCTTTGACCAATATTTTTTCTTCATTGACCATTACAGTGTTGATGTGCCAATTTACAGTGCTGACATGGTAATCTAGGGTGACATATTAATGTGGCGGATAACATGTCATATTGGCTAAATTGGTAACTTAAACATGGCAAGTAGACTGCGACATCAATACCGTTGACTACCACGTTAGCATCGTGAATCGACACGCCAGTACTGTAACGATTCACAACAAAAAAATGTTAATTAAAGGGCCACATTTGATTTATTTTATGAGTTAAAAGGCCACATTGAGAGAAAACTAATACAATGACTATGCTATTTTTTAAAAAAGTACAGGGACCTCTAATATCTTTTTGCCTTTTTTCAATAGGTAGAAGTGATAGAAAATAAAGAGATTAGAAGTGCAAATAAACACAAAAATGGGATTACAGTTTAGACGTTTTAAAAGAATAAATATTATAAAGCAATCATATTTAGTCGGTTGATCAAGTTGTTCATCTTTGTTCTCTCGTATTTCTTTAAGTCATAGATTTTAAATCCACTAGGATCACTCCTCTTCCTTCTCTTAAAATCTTCATTCCCCTCTCCTCTAAGTAAGATTATGATTAGATTTATAATTGTAAAAAAATATAAATATTGTATTAGACATCTTATTAAAATATAGATGTTATATTAAATAATATATCACAATACAAGGATGAAATATGATATTATCCCAATTAAAACCAACATTATTCCTTAAAAATAATCATCACTGGTGAAAAGCAAGGCTGCGAAGCTAAATAAGCTATTTATCCCTTTCTTGTCCGAATCTCTTTGTAAAAGTGAATATCAAAAGCTTACCTCACTCCCCTGAAACTCCATTTTCAATTTCCTGTCATCAAAGGAAGTGCAAAGAGTCCTTTCTCACGAGCTTTTTAAATAGCTAAAAATCAATTCCCAAAGAAGAAAAACCCTAAACAATTCACAGTCATTTTCTCTCTGGATTCTTTCCCTGTTTCCTTCCATGGAAGCTCTGAATTTTCTGAGGTTTTGGAAACATGGTCACGGGGTTTATAGAGTGAACCAAGCCCAACATTGTAATGGAAACGCCGCCGCCGCCGCCAACGCCAAGTTTTCCGGTCATGAGTTCGAAGAAGGTGACGACGCTTTCATCGACTTGGAGTTTCCTTTGCGTGAGGCTGAAGAAGATAAAGGGAATGCTAGGAATGCTGAAGCTTGTTCTTTGTCTCCCAATGATCATTTCTCGAAAAGAAAGATTATGCCGATCGAGCCAGGCCCCAAGCCTCAAACGCCCATCGCTCTGTTGAAATCGGCCCAGAAATTTCGAGTCTTTCACCACAAGAAGACGAAAGCAGAGGCCCCGAAGCACGAACAGCACGGCGGCGGTAACCGTTTCACCAGAGAAAACAGTTCACGGAGAACGAACGGCGAAATCGACGATTCCTCGAAGAGATTATCCAAGGACCTGGTGCACAAATACCTGAACGTAATGAAGCCGTTGTACAAAAAAATCTCCAAGGTAGGAATCTCCGGCGACTCGTCACTGTTATCTACGGCGGCTTCTCCGGCGACAGAGTATTCCACAAAGGAGAAACAGGGGAATTCTAGAGGTATTTATAAGCACATGGGAAAGAGCAAATCGTCGTCAGCCGCAGCATCGCCGATTAACAGGAGAGATGATTCCTTGCTTCTACAACATGACGGGATCCAAAGCGCCATTTTGCATTGCAAGAGATCATTCAATTCATCTAGAGGTGTTAATCACTTAACCATATACTTAATTTCAAACCTTGGGTTTGATTCAAAATTCGATTCTTAGCTCATTTCATTTTCTGGGTTTGCCTGCAGAATCTTCATGGTTGTCGAGATGCACAAGCGATTCTTCTTCACAGGAGAAATTAAGCAATGCTTCTTCAACAGGTATACACAAGCTTCCCTACTACAAAACCCTTTTGAAAAAAACGAAGTTTTAAGCGCTAATCAATCATCTTTTTCTTCTTCTCAGATTCTTCCATGTTTTCACGAGCTACAAGCATTTCCGCCAGAACATCCAGCGAAGAACATAGACTGATCTTTTCAATATCATAACGATGTAAAAATCTGAGAAAGTGTAGTGTTGTTTTTTTGATTGTTGGCTATGATTATTAGCAGTGATCATGAAGAAATCGAAAGCTTGATCTTTAAATTGCTGCAGCTGAAACCATATACTATGTTTGATTTGAAAGGTGAGAGATGTTCAACAGTTTCTTCCATGTTTCCAAATCTGGTAGTTCCCAGTGGGAACTTGCTTCTTCAATCCTTTCAAATGGCTCCAACAGTAATATACTATTCCCAGATTTGCACCATTTAATGAAATTCAAATCTTTAATTCAATTGGATCTCACATCTGAATGCTATTACTTTCAGTACTGGGTATTTAAGGCAATGCATTCAACGTACGCAGTTCGATCGTTTATGAGTGAAGGATTAATGCAAGTTCCACTTCCATCCAAAATGCACTTTTGAACTGTAAGAAATCAGTTAAGTCTGGTTAAAATCTAGGGTAAATTACGTTCCATAGTTGAGTTTTTCGATTATTAAAACTTATAAAAATGTTCAATGATTATATGATATTGTTTTGTTGAGTTTTTAATTATTTAAAGTTATAAAATAATCATTCGATTATTCATATATTTTAAATTTATATTTTTATGTTAAAAAATTGATGGTAATTTGTGTTGAATGTTAATATTCTGATTGAGATATGTTAACTCAAATATTTCTGAGATAAAATTTTATCGTGTCTTAGTCAATAGATTAACGTCCAGCACAGAAAAACTGTCAATTTTAATAAAAATGACAAGCTTGGAACATATAAATAGTCATATGATATTTTGTAACTTTTAATAATCGAAAGATTAAAAAAATAACACTTTATAACTACAAGACTGTTTGTGTTCTTTATCTTGAAGTCTGATAGGTTCTTAGTTTAAATTTTAATAACAATATTATTAAGAGAGACATCCATTAAGTTTAAATATAGATAGTAAAAGGGATGCATGGGATATAAAATGGTCATTAAATTATTATAAAACGATCCTTAAATTTATCAAAATTTATTATTATTTAGGGTAAGTTATGTGTTTAGTATATAAAGTATCAATTTTAATCTGTTTTAATATCTAAATTTTTAATTTTATTTAAAATTATACCTAAAATTTAGTTTTTATTTCATTTTAATATTACTATTCAAAATTTAATATTAAGCTTTAAAAAATGTAAATTTAAATATTGAAACGGGTTAAAACTAATAGTTTAAATACTAAATACGTTAAGTATTAATTTAAAATGATTATGTAATAACCTTTGAATATTATAACTACATATTTAATACTTAAACTATGTGATTTAGATCGTTTTATTACCTAAACAAATGTGAATAGAGATGCTCTGTGGGTGACCCCTATGGCAGTGTGGACAAGCCAAGCCATGCCTATTACATGGGCAGAGAGGGTAAAGTTTGAATATTCTCAATCAATCTGCCTCAGCCGAGAACTATGGCCATACAGTTCATCAGTGACAACTGACATAACATAACTCTGCTTATAATATATAATATTCTTCGTACCCTTTGAAGTTGAACGATTCATTCATCTAACCACTGTATCTGTTACATATTCCATGGTCATATCCACATATTCTATACACTTGTTGGTATGGTTACGTACTTATGTGCCATCATGGTCATGGTGGTGCCTCATCTCATCATCTTTTCCCACAATTTATTTGTCCCTACTCCAAAGTAGTCACCAATTTTGGACCCTACATTTTTCAATCTAGAATTTGAAACCTAATCTTATATTTCATACAACTTATCTAATTCAAAATTAATAATCTTGTAAAATGGAATATTAAAATTTATCAATTTTTATATTATAATATGGACAAAGCTACCATGTCTAGAGATGGACATGAGACTTAAATCCGACTAGTTTTGATTTGATCCTATTTAATTGGGACATATTTAAAAAAAATCGAGTTCAGTTTGGGTTGAGGTTTAGGGTGAAAAATACATTACCTGATTTGATTAAAAAAAATTATATTTTTACCTTATATATTTAAAAATAATTGCAATAATATATATATATATATTTCAATTAGATTCATATTTTTATTGAATAAAAACAATATTTTTATAAATATATTTATTTTTAGTCCGATTGGCTTCGGGTTTTTTTTTTTTGAAAAATTGGATCAAATGAAATAATCTCTAAACTCATATCAGATCGAATCAAATTCGAGTGAATAATATATATTTTTTAAATCAAAATGAGTTGATCGAAAATCTGATCTAATCTGACCGAGACATACCACTCCCATGTCTTTGAAATTTGAACTAGGGAATGGGCGGCCATGTACAATGATCAAAATCAGATTTGATAGGCCATTTGTCAAATAATAACATAGGGGTCACATACATAAAGAGGACCGGACAATATTGTTCACTTCGCCCAGATTTGTTCTGTATCTTTGCTCCCACATCATGTTTCTTTGTTTTATTCTTAGACCAACATTTAAAAGGAAATAAAAAGTTTTCGATATCAAAAGTGAACAGAGAGAGGCACTGGATTTTCCACCTTGGCTTTTTACTCGGGCTTCCATGGATTTTTCTTCTTGGATTTTCTCAAAAATGACGTCATTTTTCAATATTAATAGTGCATCAAAAAGATGTAGAAAAATATTATGCATATACGTTTTTTTTATCGTTATCTGAATTTGATTTTTCAATGTAGATGGTTGAATTGAGTAATTAAAATAAATTTCAGGTTAAATTACACATTTAGCATCTAAACTATCAATTTTGATCCGTTTTAATACTTAAACTTTCAAGATTTTTAAAAGTTTACCTAAAGTTTAATTTTTGTTTCATTTTAGCACCCGTCGTTTAAAACTTTAATTCTTGTTTCATTTTAGTACCCCACTCAAAATTTAATGTTATGTTTTAAAAATATTGAAAGTTTAGGTATTAAAATTAATTAAAACTAATAGTTTATGTACTAAATACGTAATTTATCCTAAATTTTATGATTCAGATTGATTTAAATAAGTTGGATATTATAAATATCATATTTGATCAGAAAATCACGTTTGAGTATTGATTTGAAACCAAGCCTAGTTTTGATATCTTAATCAACTGAAAAAACATCAGGTGCCAATTTTAGTTTCAAAGCCAGTTTCAGGTACCTAATTGGATTTAGAAAAACTTAAAGTACCAAATTGAATTTTGAAGTAAAATTCGGTTATCAAGATGAGTTGTGCGTAAACATGATTTACGATTGAATATTAATTTGATTGATATTATTATTAGTTTAACATTTAACATGTTATTATTATTATTATTATTATTATTATTATTATTATTATTATTATTATGTTGTTTTATTGATTTTAAGATTTCGTTTTGATTAATCTGGATTGATTCGCGTCACACACTTAGTTTTGGTAAGTGAGTCTTCCAACAACGATTTTCTAGATATACAAAGACTTGAACCGGAGAACTGACTTAATCGATATCAAATTGTTTACCACTTGAACTAACTCTCGTTGATTAAATATTTTATTATTAAACAAAAATAATATAAATTAAATTAAGATTCAATCCACTAGCAAATAAAAGTGTTAAAATACGGTAAAATTCAAGGAAAGATAATTTAATTTAAGATTAAAAACAATAATCTTTAACGCAATTGAAAATATAATAAAAAATCATAACATGATTGAATGTAACTCAGAATATTAATTTTTTTCTAACATTTTTGATTGATTCAAAAATATTACAAACATTTAGATTGTGTCCAAAATCGCAGTTTTTAAACTTTAAATTACGGTGGTTCACCCTTAAAACATAGAATTAGGGGAGTGGCAGGGGCGGCGCGAATTGCGCGACCACGCATGCCCCAAAAAAAGTATATATATAGTGGTGTTTTTCTAATAAACGCCACTATAGATAGATCTATTGCGACGGATTTTTATAAACACCACTACTATTGTGCAGGCTCCAAAAAAAATGCTAAAAAAATTATATATATAGTGGCGTTTTTTTCAATAAACACCACTATAGATGGACCTATTGCGACGTGTTTTAAAAAAAATGCCACTATTGTTACCCCAAAATCGAATATATCTAAAACAAATAAGGCCCATTTATAAGAATTTGTACAGGACCCCCGAAAACCTAGCCACGGCCCTGCATAGAATATATATTCCATTGGTGCCACAAACAAGACAAAGTAAACAAAATTCCGACAACCTTAACCAGCTTCTTCACTTGCATATAATATTACCCAGTTTCCTCGAATGGATATCAATTTCCATAGTACAATTCATTCGAGCAGATTTCTTCCTCTTTATCACCTTCATCGAATGAATCTTCCCTTCCAACTTTGAATAACTCGTCAATGGCAGAACTCCCGAGCTAATATCACTTCCCGATACCCTATCCGTCGCGTTCGACGACAAACTGCTCGACCTCAACTCGACGACAACATTGACTTTCTTGGTCGACCTAATCCTGGCTCGACCCTTCTCGATCGTGGCCTACCCAATCGATGTGTCCCTGTACGCAAACGTGACTGTGCCAACTTCGTACTTGAAATCATCGAAATTCATGTTCTTCACCGTGAATTGCGTGCTCATCCGAAGGTCGAACGAAGGGGAAGCTTCGGTTCCGACGTTAAAGTCGCCGTCGTCGATGAACGATGCTGCTCGAACACGGAACTTCGGATTTTTCGCACGCATGACCGTTAACATGAAAACCAATATAAGTCCTGTCTGGAACACGGCAAAGAGTAGTATATACGACAGGCACTTCATTCGGTTCCTTTTCCTTAGGACATTCGAGTTAGCCGAAAATCGAAGTTTTTTCAATCTTATTTTTTTATATTCATAAGATTTAAATTAGAGATTTAACTGTAAATATATTAATTATTTTTATCATTCGACCCATTAAATATGATAATTCGAAATATAATACAATAAGTTTCGTTGACACTTGACCGCGTTAGGCACACTTGAACCTCTACCTTCATTTGCTTCTGTTGCTAATGGAT